CGCCGACATGCCTTCTTCCGCAGCCCGCGCCGCATGCGCCCCTTGGGCGGCCGCCTCGACGACTCCGAGATGCTCGGCTCGACGCCCTACACGTACTATGGAGGTGAGGGACCGTCGCCTCCCTGGCTCTCCCTTCTCCTTTGCCTTTGTTCCTCCCTTTCCCTCTCCCCTCCGCGCCCGGAGCCGCTGCAGCCCGTGCAGGTCCCGGAGGGCCCCAGCAGCGCCGTCTGTGCACACACGTATCCGCGCTCACGTCTCGTCGCACACGGCCATCTGCGCATGGCCCCGCGCAGCTGCTCGCACACTGGCACGCGCGGAGCCGCAGGCAGGCAGTGCGTGTCCACATGCACACAAATGCACACACATCCAAGCATGTACTGCCCAGTACACACAGCAGCGGACATGCCCTGCCCGTGCACAAACGCCTACACGTGTGTCCTTGCACGTGCACGCCCCTCCATACACACATATGTCCGTGCACATGGATGTGCATCCCTGCACATGCACACATTGGTGCACGTGCATTTCAGTGCAAACACACCTGCCCATGCACACACGGCCATGCACACACACACAGACACCACCATGTGCACACACAGCTCTATGCATACGCTACCGTATGTGCCACATCCATGCACAAGCACATGGTGCCTAATGCATGTGCACAACCCACCATACACACACATATACATTCACCTTCATGCACATATCGCTATATGCCTGCACACACGTACTGATGTCTGTGCACACACACACTCATGTCCATGACCACATACTGCCTAGTGCACACACACGCAGACATGCATGCACATATATACCAGTTACACAGCACTCTAACACACATCCCTGCATGCACGCTCACCTCCATACGTACACATCTGTGCACCCACTCTTATCCATGCACACGCATGCACTGACACACCACCACCACCAACACCCAGTGCGTGCATACACACCCCCCCCACCACATACGCACAGATCCGTGCCATGCACACACTGTCTCCCCTCCCTGCATGCGAACACCCCTCCGTATGCATGCCCATGCACACATCTACCTCCACCTGGGCATGTATGCACACACATATGGCCACATATATGTGCCTATATACACACACACTGCCCATCACTGCTGCTCCTCACAGGAGCCCAGCAGGACAAAGTGGTGGCCGCAGCCTTTTGTTCCCCCTCCAACAGCTCAGCACCAGCCCCACCACCCGGCACGGCTGCTACTGCGTCCCCAGCCTGTGTTCCCCGTGCTGTTCCCACCAGAGCAGCCCCAGCTGGGGCAGTTACCCACCCCGCTACCCTTGGTCCCCCACTTTGGGGGCAGCTTCTGCTGCTGGGAAAAACACTCCCCACAGCTCCTTTCAGAGCACACTGAGATTCTGCAAACCCCCAGGCCTCCCCAGGCACCACTATTTTCCAGACATCCCTTCAGGCTGTCCGACAGCTCCTATCCAACTCGCTAAATCCATACAGGGCATCACTCCCACCTTGGGAAATAAGGACCAGACCAAGATAGCCCCCCACTCAAAGCTCCCAGCTTCCTGCCCTCTTATTTCTCCTCCTTCACCTGGAGGAGGCTGGGGCGGGGGCAGAAAGGAGGGGTAATTAGCAGCTGGAATTGTTAGCCTGGGAAGCCCTGGTGCCGCTTTGCAGCTGCCCACGGGGCTCTGCACGCTGTTCTGGAGTGGGGTGACTGCACTTGGCACCCCCAATCATGGGCTCTTGCAAGGGGATTGCCCTGGTCTCCGTGGTGCATCTGGGATTTTGGGGGGAGAAAAGGGGTCTTTGGGGACCGACCCCAATCTCTTCTCACTCCCCTCCCTGCAGATTATCAAGGTGACTACTACGGGCCGGGAGGCAACTATGACTTTTTCCCCCACGGGCCGCCTTCCCAAGCCCAGTCCCCAGCCGATTCCAGCTACCTTCAGAACTCAGGACCCGGCTCCACGCCCCTGGGACCCTTGGAGCCCCCCCTAAGCGGACACCACTCCTCAGAAAACCAAAGGTACACGGATATGATCTCGCACCCCGACACCCCCAGCCCGGAGCCGGGCATGACGGGCTCGCTGCACCCCATGCCGGGGGAGGTCTTCAGCGGGGGGCCCAGCCCGCCCTTCTCCATGTCCAGCAATAGCGGCTACAGTGGGGCCCTCTCGCACCCCAGCCAGGAGCTCGGCGAGGCCGCCGTGTGGTAGGCCCGGCTGTGCGCAGGGTGCGAGGGCAGCGCTAGGGGGGACGTCCCCAGTCCCCTCCGATCCTCGGCACAATTTGTCACGTCGCCTCCGCCGGATGAGGATCCTCCGGTGCCGCCGTCCAAGCGATGCCAAAACGCTCCCCGCATCCGTCCCTGCCAGCCCCCTCGGTTTGGACCCACCCCCCAACCCAAGCACTTGGGATGCTCGGGATGTCCATGGAGCCCCCCTCGCTACCTCCCCCGGTCTCTACCTTCCCCTGACGTGTGCGATGGGGCACGGGGAGGCGGGTAAGGAAACGTGCCAAGCCCCGAAGAAACTCGCGGCCGGCGTCAGGACCCACCTCCTCGAACCAAAGCTGAACTCGCTGGGGCACCCCCCACCCCGCAGGGACTGCGCCCCTCGGCCCGGGGCTGCTTGGAAAGGGGGGCCCGGTGTGTGTCTATGGGGGATGAGGAGCCCCCTGCTACCTGTGCTAATTCCCCGTCTTTTTAATTACCCTCTTAGCCTCGGTTCATTCGTTCCCATTGAGGGGGGGAAATGGGGAACACCGGAATAACCCCCTCGCCTCTCGCCGCCGCCTCCTCCCCACTTTCCGTTGTCCCCCTTTAATTCCCAAGGAGAAGGTGGATTTGGACCTGTTGCTCGCGGACGCGGGGGGGTCGGGGGAGGGAGGGGACACCGAGGCGGGGG